GGGGGGGGGGGGGGGGGGGGGGGGGGGGTGCTCATCGGGTCCATCAGACGTCATCTGTCTGTCGGCAGCCCGCTTCCCCGTCTGCCGTTCATCGATCCGTCATTTTCCTCAAGCCAAACGGAATCGTCCGTCAGCCAAAGGGCCGTCGGGGGTACTCGAAGGGACTCGGGACGCTTTCGCCGATGGACCGGAGTCCACTTCCGTCGGCACTCGTTTTGAAAAAGCCTTTCGTCATGAATCGGTCGTCAGCGAAGCGCGAGCGGCGCATCGGTTCGGGCGGAACGCCCGCCGAAACGGTCCCGGCGGCGCTCCGAATTTCCCCACGGCAAATCGGGGCCCAATGTCCGAAGGCGGCGAGGCGTCCGGTGACCGTCTTGCGTCGCCGCCCGCCGAGCCCGCCGGACTCCAACGCGTCGAGGTGTTTTCAGGTTCTTTTTTCGCCAGCGATGCGCATCGGATGCTTTTTCTTGGCTACGCGGCGCTTTGTCTGCCTCACCTCGTCGACAACGAAACGAGAAATGGCGGCGAGAGTTTCGTATTGCGGCATCTGACGGAGAATGCCGCCCACCTCTCCTCACCTCTTTGGATTTGCGCCCCCCCACCCCCACCCTGTTGACGCTAACTTGGGGCCCTTTCGAGTGATTTCTGCCACTTTTGAATGACGTTGATTTTCGTGGTGGGCTTCGGGGGTCTCCTGACACCAAACGAGCTTTGAAACGAGTTTTTCTTTCTCGTAAAGAAAACCAAAAAACAAAGCATCCGCTTCCATCTTGGGAAGAGCAGACGCCATGACCCTCCGCCAATGAAATGAGCGTTTCCACTGCTCGGCGGCCACGTCGAGGAGACGCCGAGCCACCCCGGGATGAATTTGGGGCGGGAGGATTTGCAAACTTTGGCCCCTTTGCCGGTCCCGTCTCAAACGGGCAGTTTGGGAAAATGCGCCAGTGGCCAAAGCGCGGGAATTTGCGCCCGGTCGCATCGTGTCATTCAGGAAAGGCGGCTCGGGCGCCATCGCCGCGAGTCAGCGGAGGAGAAAGCCAACCGTGGAGCGGGTGAGCCCGCCTCCGCTTTAGCCCCGCGGGCCCTTCTCC